TGGGGGTTCAGGATGGGAACACATGTAAATCCATGGCTGATTCATGTCAATGTATGGCAAAAACCACTACAATATTGTAAAGTAATTAGCCTTCAACTAATACAAATAAATGGAAAAAAAAAAAAAAAAAGAAAGGCTAAGTATCTGGCAAGGCTTCTGGTGAGTCAGACAGGCTCAGGTTGCAGCCTTTGGGAAGGAGGGTCCCTGAGGATCAGCTCCCGAATCTCCTGCCACATCTGGGCCTCACATTCTAGGAGAGGAAGTGAAGTACAGCAAGAAGGGTACAAATTCCACAACAAAGAGTCAGCATATCACATCTATCATGACAACTAGGATAGTCTTTAATGTCATGACTATGAGATACACCTACAGAAATATTATCATATGGAGATAAGGCAAGATACTCACATTGTTATTTTCAGACTCAGAGATACAAAGATAATTTTGTTTACTTTTTAATAAATTTGGTATGATTCCAAAATTACTGTGATTTTTATTCTGAGAATAATGTCGTTCAAAGTGGCTGAACAAACACAGGGGAAATGTTTGGGTTGCATGGATTTTGGGGTTTCAATCACTGATGCAGGAGCATCTTTCCAGAGAGAATAGGAGGGCTTGCAGGGCTAAGCTTCATGCTCTTAGCTCAGACCCCTGGGACTTCTGTCCATGAATTTCTGTGTGGGTCTCACATGTTTTGAATGCAAGATGTGCAAAGGTGGTCCCTAAGTGAATTACTTCCTTGACAATGGCCAGTAAGTCTTAAATCCCAGCCAGGCTTGTGGCTTTCTCATCCCGCCACATCACCTTTTGAGCAAGTAATCGAAGCATTTCTCCCTCTTTCTCCCCATCACTCTGAGCGTTTGTCTCTCCATTGTAATCATTCTTGGTCTTTGTCCCAACTCAGAATTTTAATGAATAAAGCTGGAGGGAAGCGGGGATCACTTTCACTTTGTCACCTGTTTTCCTGGGCTGTCGCATCCATCTCAGAAAGGGATGCTCCACCAGGCAGTAAGACTGTATCTGGGGAATTGACTGAGGTGAGTGTCCGGGAGAGTTGTGGTACCTTAAGGGACCTGAGAAACTCACTCCCAGATGCCCAGTGGCCCCAGCTTTGTTGTAGCTGTGTGGGCATCACATGGATGTGGATATACACCTGTTGTGTAGACCAACAGGCGGAAATACAATCATGTGAAGAGGTGTTAAGGAGAGAGATTCGATGCCAGCATTAATTAGTATTTTATGATAGATCTAATAAAATGAAACAGGACATCTGCTTGGCCTGTGTTCTAAGTAGGTGGAAATAGACAGGATGTACTGTCTCCTGGGAACACTGGAGAGAGAGGATTGAAGTGGACTGACCTGAAATTTATGACTTTGCGATTCTAGTGGGACGCCTGAGGGCAGGTAGGTGGTGGGGATAAAAAAAGCTGAAGCCTCCTACTGGGACCTCGGCAGGAATGGGCCCCCAGATGTTCAGGTTGCTTCTGATGAGCATGTTCACGGTGCTCTTCATGAATGAGAGTAAGCCTGGTGAGGGTGGTCCTTGGTGGGCAAATGGGTGGGCAGAGAATGGATGGGGAGGAAGAGAGGGACTTGGTGACTTGACTGGTGTGAGGTGCTTCAAGGAGAATTTTTCTTCTTCTCTCTACAGGAGACAGAGTCCTGACAGCGAATTGTACGGTGTAGTTCATTTTCAGTTCTTGGATAAATCATGCCACAATAGGAGGGGACATTTTTGAGTTCTGTTCACATTATCTCTCTACCCTCCCTGGCTACATTCCCCTTTCCCCACTGATTGTTCTAGTGTCTTCTTTTAGCCCCCAGCCTTGGGTGAGAGGGGGAGATCTTTAACCTCTTGAGGGGAGGAACGACCCCCTGACAGAAGCTGGGAGGGTGTCCGCATCCTTCCTGTGTGTGTTACACCACTGAAGTGTAAAGGTGTCCAGGTGGGGGTGGGCTTCTGAACAGAATCCCTGTCCCTAGAATTCTGCATCAAAGTTGCTATTTTTGTGAATATTTTAATGGACTGCATTGTCGTAGGGCTATGAAAGACTGTTGGAAATGGAATATACTGCTCACTAACAGGAGTTGTACCACAGAACACTTTTATTCTTATGATCTTCTTACGGGTAAGCGGGAATAGGAAGAAACAAAAGATACTATCAGTCGTGGCCACGATCCCTGGACTCAACACATGGAGGGAGACTGGAACCATGGGCTGGTGGGAAAGTGGGATTCTCCGTACAGAGATCTGGGATGGAGGCTGTCTAGGAGGTCGATGTCTTTTGCCTGGTCCTGTTGAGAGAGACATAGATGAGATGCAGACATAGCCTTGGGGCAAGTTTCCTGTGTGTAGGAGATTTTTGAGGGTCTGGGGAGACGTCACTGCTTGAAACATGGTGGGATCAAGCAAGGTGATCATATTTGCTTTTCTCTTCTCTTCCCACCTTGGTTCTGCTGGTAAAGAATGTGCCTGCAATTCAGGAGACACGGTTTGACTCTTAGGTTGTAAATGTCCCCTAGAGAAGGAAATGGCAACCCACTCCAGTATTCTTGCCTGGAAAATCCCATGGACAGAGGAGCCTGGGGGGCTGGAGTCCACGGGGTCACAAAGAGTTGGACAGGACTAAGTGACAAACTTCTTTTCTCTTCTCTTTAGGCAGACAGCTCTACCATTACTCAGCACTGTCTTCTAAGGATTGTGAAGAAGGAGCCCACCTCCTACATCATGACTTACTGAGAGAAACATATTGCTGCATGAATGATGACAAGTGCAATGATGGAAGTACCCTCTCAGAGAAGTCAAAGTTTGGACTAGAGGGAAGGAAAAGTATATATGATCTTGAACCAGTTGACTATAAGTAAAATGATTAACATTTTGAAACCATCCCTCCCAGTAATTTTTGCCCTGCCCTTACCCAGTGGTAATACCATCTTACATTTTCCTCTTGTTAAGAATGTTTTCTTTCTTCATTTAAAAATATATCAAGAGCAGTCTGAAAAGTGCTTGCTTTCTTCCCATTGTATAACTTAAAATATGGAGTGAGCATCTTAGCTCTCCTTTAGCAAATTGTCACATTCCTTTTAAGTTTGAATCAGCTTCCAATATTTATCCTTTGTGCTGTCAGTGTATTGCAACACCTCTGGGAGTTCCTTAAATGTGAAGTTTATCAACAGCATCACTTCCTCTGAGACTGGATTATCCTTTACAACTGTTTTCCTCAGGTAAAACTTTATGTTTGTTTTCACTAAGTTCTTCCTCTTGCACACCTAGAGCTTATTCTTGACTGGCAACAGTGTCAATGTTCACCCGGTCATCTTTATCTTCTAACTCCATTTCTATTCTATTCAAATTGTATAACTTTTCACATAATACAGTCTCTCACTGTTGTGCAAAACAAGGACTGCCTGTAATTCTTGGTGCAAATTTGGGTACACCCAAATGCAAATTTGCACCCAAATGCAAATCTGGGTGCAAATTTCACAGTAACATCCTTATCTGCGCTTGCAGTTTCACTGAATAGTTTAACATAATTCAGGTCGACTTTGAAACAATGAAACCAGCTTTTATTGGCAGCAAATAGATGTCCTTGTAATTACCATTTTCCTTCAGCACAGCAACTAACTTCAATACAAAAGGATTGGGGATTTGGTTTTGACTCCACTCCTCAATCCAAAGTAGAAGTAAATGCTCCATTTCAACCATAAGTGACTTTCTATTCCCAGTGCAAAGTAAACTACAAGATGTTGAAGCAACTTTATCTTGTTTTTATATTCATCAGATTTTTAAAACATGGTTTGTACTGCAGCTTCATGTGGGCCCAGGTCTCATCCTATCTTTGCTTTCCTGTGGCCATTTTTCAATCTTCTAATCCAGTCTAATTTCACTTCCAATACATCACTTTTCCTTTCTTTGTTCTGTCATATTTGTTGACTAGTTCCCTCTTTTTTTTTTTTCCTTCTTATGTTTTAATTTTATTGGAGTATAGTTGATTTACAATGTTGTTAGTAACAAAGATGAAAAATCCTATGTGCTAAGACCCACCCAACACAGCCAAATAAATAAATATTTTAAAAATGATAATAAAATAAAATGGACAACAGTATATTAGAATTGTAAAAACAATGAAAAATGGCTGTCTTCAGTGAATACTGCTTTTTTTGGATGTATGCTGACAAGCTATCTATCAGTTATTGTTTAATTGCTAAGTCATGTCTCTTTTGCCACTCCATGGACTGTAGCCCACCAGGCTTCTCTGTCCATGGGATTTCCCAGGCAAAATACTGGAGTGGGTTGCCATTTCCTACTCCATAGTTCCCTCTTTTGATTGTCGATTTTTGTAAAACAGCGCATCAGTTTATCACTGGGAGACAAGGAGGAAACACAACTACATACTTCACTATCTATGTGTAACTAATAGCTCTTCAGTGACCAATCATTAAGACTTTGAAAGAAGTTATGTAATTGTTACTGTTCATGATGCATATCTTTTATTTGCATAATGATTTTTAAATGAAGGCTATTAGCAAAACTAATGCAATTGTTCATGGTTAATATTGTGACAGCTAAAAGTTCAGCCTCGTTGGGGGACAAATGTTTAACTACGCTGTGAAAACTGATATTCGTGCATGTTGAATTGGTGCAAAGGATTGCCTGTAGCTTATTATATAAATCGTTGAATTGTTTATAAATCCAACAGTGTTCTCTAAGAAAACCATCCTTCAATTTTATTCCTCCATTGCATGTTTCTGGCAATTATCTCCCAAGACCCAAGAATCTTTTTCCAACATCTCCAAGAATATTAATTCCTTGAAATGAATCTTTTCAGCTAGAATCTGGATAAAATAAACAAAAGAGGGAAAAAGAGCAATCTTGCTTGGAAATGTTGAATACATTCTTGCCAGCTTATTTCCTCTTTAATTCCCCCCATAACTGCAAAGGATCTTGCAGAGAAGAGGCTGTTGAATTAAAAGTTGACTTATCTTGGTATTATATTCTCATTTAAGCTCTTCTATGTCACGTACCTACAGTCAACCATACACTATGGTTTCTACATTATCTCTGCATCAGAGAACTGGAGACCCATCAGCATGCCTCTGGATTCACCTCCACGTTGGTCCTGTCTTTCCCATCATCTCACATTTTCTCAGAAGCCAGACCCCACCACTGTATTCCAGTAGTTCTCATATTGCATCCATTAACAGGAAAGTGCAAAGCCGTATCCCCACCCCCACCCTCACCCCGCCACCAAAGTCAACGCGGCCTTCTGGTTGGATTTCTCATCTATTAACTACTTGACATCTCCAGGCAATCTTTACTTGCCCTTAGGTTTGTTGCTAAATTCAGGGTTCTAAAGTTTCTGGCAAAAAGGAGCAAAGTATTTTTCTGAAGGAGCTTCTGAGAGAAGGTCAGGAGAAAGCAGAGGGAATAAAATTAAGGACCAGAAATCACAAGAGATTGTGGGAATATTTGGGAGGAGAGTAGAAGAGGTATTTGGTGAGGGCTAGAAAGGGCTGGTATTCAGCTGAGGCTAGGGAAAGTCAGTGAGAAATTAGAAAGCACCAACTTCCCTGAAAGGAATAGTCAGTATACTAGACTCACGCGCTAGCCATCCTTTTGGGGAAACCATACCAACCACAGCTACTCCTGACCGTGTAGCACTGGATCACCATGTTTCTAACGTGTTACCTAATTTTCAAGTTCAAAGCCAAGTATATCCGGATGGGCATTTAGCTGAATGGTGGTCAGTTATCCTGGTTCCTGGCATGTGAGCAATACTCAACCACCCAGTCCTCAAAAATATTTAAATACTACCTTGTATTCAGTGTACTCATTGATAGAAGACTGAGGTGTTTTTGGCTCTTAGCACAGTCCCTCAACAGAAAATATCAGAGAGATAAGAGTTTCAGATCTTCACTGTAGTTTTCCTTACAAAACAATTGGTTGTAAAATGAAAATAATTAATTCCCAAGTTATCATTCACTCACCTTTGGTGAAAAAATTTCTTTTATCATAGTAACCTTTCTATGTGTTAAAATCTACACATGCTACTATTTTATTTTTTAGCTATATATTTACAAACACACATATATATTATTCTATATGTTGTAGTATTTCTCCTGATATGCAGGCCTATGATTAGTTATTAGTTTCTACCATATTTTACTTGCCCAAATAAAAAATTTTAATACACAAATTAATTTTAAAATATTTCCAATTTATGTGTGGTGGAATTTCCCCCAAATTGTGTCATGTTAGAGTGAATATTATACTTTAACATCTTGCAAAGTAGAAAATGTGGTAGAGCCTTCCATTCAGGGTTGTTTAATTGGTTTATAAGAGTAGAATGGAGATAGTAGCAGCAGGTTCCAAATATGAAATGATTCATGGGGGACTCACTGTGATGTGTGATTAGTTTCTAGAATGGTCTCAAATCAGTTAAAACTAGAAACCAAGAGGAAGCTTCACATTAAAGCCGAGACACAACGTGAGGACAGTTCTGGTGCAGGAAGGGTAGCAGGCACACACTGGGTGATACAGATGGAGACTGACGCCACATTGACAACTAAGGTGGAAGTGAAGATTCTGTGAAGCACCGCGGCAAGGCCCCTCAAGTCTCATCATCGCATCCAGAAGACTGCAGGTCCAGGCTTCCCGAGTCTGTCCTGTCTGCTTCCTGTCTTGGGTTTCCATGAGATTCTGACTGCCATACTGCCCCATGTGACAGCCCCCATCACCCCCTACTTTTCTGGGTCCGGATGTGGTACCACTTCACTCCTTACATTTTACAGAAACAAATGGGAAGCCGAGGGAACAGTGAGGGAGGCCAGTCCCTGAGCAAGTGCAGGCACTCTAGATTCAGGTCCAGTGTTCTCTTCCAGCCAATGGTGCCTTGGTGGGTGCTGAACCTAAGCTGGCAAAATTGATCAAATAAGACAAAGCAATTGTATGGAACTTTCAAGCTGAAGGGTTTAGTAATATTCGGAGAAACAGGGTTTCTAAATAAGAGACAAAAACAAAGTCAATGAAACCAAGTGGTGGTTTTTTTAAAAGATTAAAAGAATTGACAAAGCTTTATCCAGGCTCACCAAGAAGATAAGAGAGAAGGCCCAAATGAACAACAACAGCAACAAAAAAATCCCAAAGAGGTGAAATAATACTCGATGCCATAGAGATACAACAGATCATAAGAACATTTACATGCCAACAAATTGGACAATCAAGAAAAAAATGAATAAATTTCTAGAAACATACAGCCTGCCATGATAGAATCAAGAAGAAGGAGGCAATTTGAACAGTTAGATCACTAGAAGCGAAACTGAATTTATAATAATAAGAAACCTCCAAGGAAATGAAAGTCCAGGGCTAGGAAGTTTCAAAGGGGAAGTCTATTTACCCTTCTCAAACTATTCCAGAAAAATTGAAGAGGAGGGGACACTGCCAAATTCATTTTATGATACCACCATTATTCTGAGAGCAAAACTAGGCAAAGACACACCAAAAAAGAAAATGACAGTCCAATATATTTGATGAATGTAGATGCAAAAATTCTCAGCAAAATATTTGCAAACCAAATCCAACAATATATAGAAAGGGTCATACCCTGTGACCAAGTTGGATTTATTCCAGTCACAAGGATGATTCAACTTTCAGAAATCAATCAATGTGATACATGACATTAGTGAAAGGAAGGATAAAAATCATACGTTCATCTCAATAGATGCAGAAAAAGCTTTTGACAAAGTCCAGCATCCATTTAAGATTAAAAAAAAAAAACCAACTTCCATTAGAGTTAGTATAGGGCTTTGGGACACCAATTCAATCCCTGGTCCAGGAAGATTCCACATGCTGAAGAACAACTAAGCCTGTGTGCCAGAACTACTAAAGCTGACACACCCTGAAGCCCATGCTCCACAGCAAGATAAACCACCACAGTGAGAAGCCAGCGCACTACAGCTAGAGAGCAGCCCCTGCTCACCACAACTTGAGAAGGCCCACACACAGTAGCGAAGACCCAGTGAAGCCATAAGTGAAGAAGTAATTTTTAAAAGTTGGTATAGAGGGAACATTTCTCAACATAATAAAGGCCACTTACGACAAACTCACAGCCAATATCACAATGGTGAAAAGCTGGGACTTCTAGCTAAATTCAGAAACAAGACAAGGATACCAGAAACAAGACAAGGATACCCACTTTCGCCACTTCTTTTTAACGTAGCAGTGGTAGTCCTAGTCAGAGAAATCAGACAAAAAGAAAATGAAAGAAGAGATACCCAGATTGGAAGAGAAGACTTAAAAGTGTCACTATTTGCAGACAACATGATAACTTCATATAAAGAATCCTAAAGTCTCCACCTGGAAATGATTAGAACTAATAAATAAATTCAGCAGCACTGCAGGACACAAGATTAATAAATAGAAATATGCTGCATTTCTATACATTAATAATGAAATATCAGAATGAGAAAATAAAGAAACAATCTCACTTAAAATTGCATCAAAGAGAATAAAATACCTAGGGACAAACTTAAGGAAGGAGGTAAAACACCTATACCCTGAAAACTATAAAATATTGATGAAGGAAATTGAAGACGATACAGATAAATGCAAAGATATCCTGTGCCCTTAAATTAGGAGCATCAATATTATTAAAATGACCATACTGCCCAAAGCAATCAATAGATTTAATGCAGTCATTGCCTATACCCAGGACATTTTTCACAGAACTAGAACAAATAATTTGAAATTTATATAGAACCACAAAAGACCTGAATGTGGATGTGATCCTGAATAAAAAGAATAAGGCTGGAGGTATAATCCTCCCAGACTTCATACTATACTGCAAAGCTACAATAATCAAAACAGGTTGTATTGCCACAGAAACAGACACAGATAGATGGAACAGAATAGAGCACAGAAATAAACACATGCACAGATGACCAGTTATCTACAACAAAGGGGGCAAGAACATACAGTAGAGAAAAGACAGTCTCTTCAACAGCAGTGCTGGAAACTGGACAGCCACAAATTATACTAATAGAACATTCTTTCATATCATATATAAAAATAAAATGGTTTAAAAATCTAAGTGTAAGACATGAAGCCATAAAGCTCCTTGAAGAGAACATAAGCGGAACACATCCTAGTAGAAATGGTAATGCAATTATTTTGGAACAGTCTCTTAAAGCAAAAGAAATAAAAGCAAAAGTAAACAAATGGGACCTAATTTAACTAAAAAATTTTGCAAGGCAAAGGAAACTATTGACAAAGCAAAAGACAATTTATGGATTGGGAGAATCTATTTGCAAATGACATGATTGACAATGGGTTAATATTCAAGATATACTAACAGCTCATACAACTCATTATCAAAAAACAAACAACCTGATTGAAAATGGGCAGAAGACCTAAATATCCATTTTTCCAAAGAAGAAACATAGAGATTTAGCTAACAGGCACATGAAAAGTTTCTTGACATTATTAACCATCAGAGAATGCAAATTAAAACCACAATGAGATATCACCTCACACATGTCAGAATGGCTATTGTCAAAAAGAACACAAATAACAAATGCTGGTGAGGATGTAGAGAAACCCACATCCACTGCTGGTGGGAATGTACATTGGTGCAGCCACTGTGGAAAACATGATTGAGGTTTCTCAGAAGACTAAAACTGGAACTATGATGCTGGTGCTGCTTCACTTCAGTCATGTCTGACTCTGTGAGACCCTATGGACTGCAGCCCACCTGGCTCAATAGGAGCATAAGAAGCAGAAATGAGTAAATGGAATCAAATTCTTGTATTCAATAATATCATTGTGTTGCTAATAAAGTGGCAAGTGTACTAGCTTAACATAGCATGTAAACAGTTAAGTAGGCATATCTATAAAAAGAATTTTTAAAGAATGTATAAGGTAATAGAGAAGATAAAGTGACAAATACTAGATTAATCCTAAAGAGTCCAAGGAAGAATGAGAAAATATTTTATAGTTGCATAAAACAAAATATTTTTGGTCATAAAGCAAGTTCTGATAAAGTACATTGAAAACATCCACAAAGTATCACTCTTATTCTCCTATCCATGGGGAGGAAGTTATAAAACATTTTTTTGTTAATGTTTTTTCCCTTACCAAAAGATTTTTTTAAGAACTTTGGCTTAAAAGAATGTTGGACTTTTCCATGAAAACAGCTATCTTAATTAGCAATCTGCTATGCCAGAAACAACACTTAGACATGACTTTTTCTGAATTTATACACTGTTTTAAGTTTTTTTGTTAAGACTCTAGCATTTATTCCTTATCCCTTTATGCTTTTCATGCTATATTTATTTACTGGAGTATAATTGCTTTACAGTGCTGTGTTAGTTTCTGACATACAAGGTGAATCAGCTGTATGTATACACATATTTCCTCCCTCTTGAGCCTGCCTCCAACTCCTCCCCAACTACCTCTAGAATTCCAAACACACTTTCCTTTCTTCTCCAACCCCTAACCCCAGAGAGGGTCTCATTCTATACAGCAGACAATCTTTCACTCTTCATGGTTCAGGCACGAATTTCTTTCTCCATTCTGCCCTTCTCCTCACTCTGGGAATAACATTCAAGAACAAAATTCAAGAAAACTCAAGTCATCTCTTTTCATGTCACCCCCTCCCTCCCTGTGAGGCCAGGGTTGTTTGCTTTAATTGGAGTGAGACAAGAAGAAAAATACCAAGAGAAAAAAATGAAAATATTCTGCCTCAGAAAGAAGGGAAGGAGCAGGAAAAAAAAACTGACTTAATCTTTTCTTCCTTTTCTTTTTCTAAATTGATTTTGTAATTGGAGGATAATTGCTTTACAACGTTATGTTGGCTTCTGCCATACAATAACACAAATCAGACACAATTATGTGTGTATGTGTGTATGTGTGTATATATATATATCCTCTCTTGAGCCTCCCTCTCACCTCCCCCCATCCCACCCCCTAGGTCATTCCCTGTGGCTACCCTAGTTATCTGGGCTTCCTTGGTGGCTCAGATGGTAAAGAATCTGCCTGAAATATGGGAGACAGTGTCAATCCCTTGGTTAGAAAGATCCCCTGGAGGAGGGCATGGCAACCGACTCTACTATTCTGCCTGGAGAATCCCATGGACAGAATAGCCTGGCAGGCTACAGTCCATGGGGTCACAAAGAGTCGGACACGACTGAGTGCCTAGCACAACACACAGCTAGTTATCTGTTTTACACATGGTAGTATACATATGTCAATGCCACTTTCTCAATTCTTCCTACCCTCTCCATCCCCCCTTCTTCCTTTCTGAAGCAGCTTGGGTGTTCAGTGAATGCACTGGATTCTATAAAAAACATGCAGGATGTATTGATCCTGTGTTCAAGATGTTGCCCATACACCCCCTCCAAGGGGCCATGGCAGAAAATCTGGAAAAAGAGAGGGCTTTCTTCTTACATATGCAGAAGGCAGAGCCGTGTGTTTCCAATCTGAAATGTGTTTTTTTTTTTTAGATTACTGTGAAGAGGTGGACCCAAGGATGTCACCTACCCAGAGACTGGAGCCAGAAAAGGACCAGTGATTTCTAGATGTCGTCATTGCACAAATCATGGCTCCTGCAACACCTGAAGTTCACCAGGTAGACACTCCACCTTATGTCGTTCACGTTAGCGCAGTTCTTTAGGCACCCCCTGAAGGTTAACCAGAGAGTGCCATCATCTGCAGAAGCAGGAGAAACTTATCAGCACAGAGGTTTCTAAAAACAAAGCAAAAGCAAAAAACTTCCCAGCCCGCAGCGGTGTACAAAAAACAACCTTGTGTAGTTCAAGTCTTGGTTATTTAAAGGTGAAGAATTTCTCTCAGATCATCCCACCCTCACCTTCTCCCACAGAGTCCAAAAGTTTGTTCTATAGCATTGAAACATGTATATTATCAATTGTGAAACAGATCACCAGTCCAGGCTTGATGCATGAGATAAGTGCTCAGGGCTGGTGAACTAGGATGACCCAGAGGGATGGGATGGGGAGGGAGGTGGGAGGGAGGTTCAGGATGGGGAACACATGTAAATCCATGGCTGATTCATATTGATGTATGGCAAAAACCACTACAATATTGTAAAGTAATTAGCCTCCAACTAATATAAATAAATGAAAAAAAAAAAAGGTGAAGAATTGGAAGATGTTGCAGTCTGGGTACTTCCCAAAAGAGAAACAATAGCAGAGTAGCTTAAAGCAAAAAAAAAAGAAAATCCCTGACTGTGGGGCTGTGATGACAGCAGCAATTCAAGGATTGCCAGAGCTGGGTGTTTCCACGGAGAATGTTGACACTGGTATAAGTAAGGGTTAGAAATACTGAGGTATCGCTCAGCACAAAGGATAGGAAATCCGAGAAATCATGCTGTTTCAACTTACCTATGAAGGGCCACTTAGACTATATCTATGGCTGACCCTGGTCCCTCTATTTTCATGGTTTAAAACTTCCCACACGGAAAGGCCAGGCCAGGAGAGAACAAAGTGCCCGCCTCACTTCAACACTGGCCTTTCCTTTTCCGGCAACTTGGTCTCCTCTGTTTTGTTCAGGCTTCTCAAAATACTGATTCCATAGCTACAGATCCCCACTCCCTAGAGACCACCTCTATCTATTTTTCATCATGACATGTGATGGGGTAGAGATACTCAGTCACTCTAGGGCTTTCCTGGTGGCTCAGACAGTAAAGAATCTGCCTGCAATGCAGGAGACTTCTGGTTCGATCCCTGGGTTGGGAAGATCCCCTGGAGTAGGAAATGAGAACCCACTCCAGTAGTCTTGCCTGGAGAAGTCCATAAATAGAGGAGGCTAACAGCCTGCAGTCTATGCGGTCCTAAAGAGTCCTGCACGACGGAGTGACTCACACTAGGGACTCTAGGATTGATCTGAAGCAGGGTCCCGCCTTTCTCCTGTGGCCGACACATCCGTCTGCTTCCACCACCCTGTCCTCCCGCCCCCAACCCACAACTTACTTTTGTAAATCCTCCCAGTTGTGCAAGCTTCATTCACTGCAGTACATAGTCCTCTGCCTCTGGAACACTTCTGTCTTGGAAACTGGATGTGGCACGTCCTACACTGAATCATTTCTATAATTTGGGCCAGAGAGTAGGGAAGTAGATGTGAAAGCGCTGCTCTGAAAGGACCCATCTCCCCTTTCAAATCTGAAGTCCTCTGAGAGCCCTGAGGGCTTTCCAGAGACCCGTGAAGGGAGGACATCCACCTTTATCAAGCAGGCTGAGCCAAGAGAAGGGCTAGAATTTACCGTCTCTGGATTTTAGCTCATAGAACAGGCAGGAAGATAAGGAAAAGAGGATCAAAATCAAAGCTGAGAGCATCAGATTGTATCCTCTTCATACTCACCAGGAAGTTTGCTTTTATCAACAGATAGTTCACCGACTGTGCTGGCAAAGAGAAATAACACGTAGATGCAATTTTCTCTAAGATTTACCCTTGCCTCGCATTGCTGTAACCCTCGAAAATGCACGAGGCCCATTCCGAACTCTTCACCTGGAGCCACTCTGGGACCAGTTCTGTCCCTCCAAAGCCGAGTTCCCATCTCAGGGCATCTCTGTGCCTCTCCCTCATTTCAACTCTCTTCATCTCTAGAGGGCTCTCAGCCTCTCCACCACCCCTTAGGATACAGCACAGGCTCGAAGAAGGAAGATAAATGAACACTTTGTGTGTGTATGAGTGCCTCATTGCCTTCTTTTTTTAAACTACTTTATTTTTGGCTGAACTGTGGATCTCCCTTGCTACGCACCAACATTCTCTAGTTGCCAGGAGTGGGGGTTACTCTCTAGTTGCAAGGCCCGGCCTTCTCATTGCAGCAGCTTCTCTTGTTGCTGCTCACGGGCTAGGTAGAGAACTTGGACTCAGTAATTGCCCTGGAGTGTGTAGGATCTTCCCAGACTAGGGATCGAGCCAGTGTCCCCTGCTTTGGCAGGCAGATTCTTAACCACAGGATCGCCAGGAAAGTCCCACATTCCCTTCACTTTAATTGACCTCTCTGACTTTCTTACCCACAGGTAGCTGAAAGCTGACAAGGTGACAAAGCCTCTGAAATTCATGGAATTGCTACTCTGTGGATTTAGCTAGCTAGTGCCTGAAAAATCAATATTCCACTTCCCCCTTTCCCCTTTCCCTCACCTTTTAACACACGGATCCTTTGCCTTGCTAACTGCTGCTTGGGTTTTTCCATCAGGCTCAAAGTCAATTCCCACCCCAGCCCCATCCTGCTGGAAGAAGTGGCCGAGTGGTGGAATCCAAGGTTTGTCTCTGGATTCCTTTCAACCCTCAATGCTCATACATCCCCTCTCATCTCCCCTTCCCCTCAAATTGCCCTTCCCACACCACTGATCTGTTTCTACTCACTTTTTTGTTCTTGGTCAGCAAATGACCCGCACAGTACTGTTAAGGAAAAAAGACAAAAAGATATACTCTCTGTAGACTTCATTTTACAAACTCACCTCACAGCTTTTACGAAAATCTTGTCAGTTCCCTTATAATCTACCTATTTCCTTCTGCAAGCAGACTAAGAGTTTGCTGAAGGTTCCAGGGATGGGATGCATTGTGTGTGAAAGTCACGGTGTTACAATGACAGCTTCTGTTACCCATGACTCTCATAAGAGAACCTCTGTCACGGAACCCGGACCCATTCCAACATCCTGGACACATCTCTCCAACTGTCAACCACAGGGCCTCTCACCTCGAAAGCAGCAGAGGAGGACAGGGAGCTCTAGCAGGAGGGACTTGTCCATCTCAGAGGGAGGAAAGAGCAGGCTGGAGCAGGAAGCTGCAAGGTGCCTCTTTATGTATCTGCCAGGTTGGGCTTCCCCAGGAAGGGCTAGGGGTGGGGACATTACAGAAGTCCTTCAAAGGTGTTTCCTGCTTCAAGGGAAGTCAAGAACTCTGAAATGTTTCTTTTTGGCCAATTGTGAGGAAGAGGGACTGCCTAGGTAAGTCCTGGGTCTGATTGTTTCAGTCCTAGCATTCAGGAAGCTTTGATGCCACATCCTGTGGTCTTCTCACTAGACCACACTGTGGGAGAAGACAAGGATAAATCAGGGCAAGCTGGGTTAGATTCAGAGACATTTACACTGAGACGCTCATTAAAGCTGAGAGAAGGGACTTCCCTGGCCATCCAGTGGTTAAGACTTTGCCTTCCAACGCAGGGGGTGAAGATTCAATTCCTGGTTAGGAAGCTAAGGTCCCACGTGCCTCACAGCCAAAAAAACCAAAACATAAAACAGAAACAATATTGTAACAAATTCAATAAAGACTTTCAAATGGCCCATATAAAAAAAAGTTCAAAAAAAAAATCTGAGAGAATATGAGTGTAAATAATCGGACTGTAGGAAGTCCAAAAGAGGGGTAACCAAAGAGCCTTTAAAAGGCAGTACTATAGGAAATGGGGAAGAGAGATGGAGAGGTTCAATGCAGACGAGGTGACAGGGTACTAGGGAGGGAAACAGTTTCCCACCATCAGTCATCCTGGGACAAAGCAAAACTGGGGCAGAGGATGAGAGACTGGAGGAAATTCCTTCTCATACTTGGAGTTTCCCTATGATTGAGACTTAGGCTTTTATTAAGAGAGAGGTTTGAGATTACTTCTCCTGGAGGGAGGTCAGCTGGTCCCTCCCATTTGATGCCGAGGGAGCCAGGTATGAGGAGGGGCAGTTACCTCAACTCTGAGCGTAACGAGGTAACCAACTGGGGTGGCAACTGAATGTAGAATTCCTGTGGAGGGGATTGAGGCTGTGGATTCTAAGAAAATCCATGGGATGCTCCAAGCAAGAATACTGGAGTGGGTTGCCACTTCCTCCTCCAGGGGATCTTCCTGACCCAGGGATCAAACCCGCGTCTCTTGAGTCTGCCCCACTGATAGGCAGTTTACCTCTGAGCCACTTGGGAAGCCCCGTGTTCCCACTGGCAGACCTGTCCCTTTCCTGCTCTCAATGCCTGGAAACTTAGCATCTTCTCTTACATCCTCACATTCCTTTCTTTGATCTTTGAGATCTCCCCTCCTTTTCTCCTAGGAATTCTGTCTTTAATTCTTTGGCTAATGGCAGCCCACACAAAAGGAGGGAAGGTTTCCTTCCTCTATCCCATCAGAAGCTGTCTCCTCTCTTCATTACACTCTGTCGATATTATTATACCCCTTCTCCTAAAGCAGAAATGTTCCCTTCTCAGCTTTACCAGTCCACCTGAACTCCTTATTTATATTTGAACATTCTTTTTTAAAGTATTTATTTTGTTGTACTAAGTCTTAGTTGTGGCATGTGAGATCTAGTTCCCTGACCAGGGATCAAACCCCAGGACCCCTGCATTGAGGGTGCAGATTCTTAGCTACTGGACCACCAGGGAAGTCCCTGAACTCTATTTTATCAGCTTATTTTTCTCCTAAAATCTCCTCAAATCCACATTCCCGGTCTTTGTATCCCATAATACCTGATTTTCTTACTGGGTCACAGTCCATACCTTTTCTCAGTGTTCCTAATCCTTTTTCTTATCCTCTTAGGGCATCCAAAATAATTATTCTTATGTCATAAATTATAGACCCATGACTTAAAAGCATTCAGGAAAGAATCCCTTTTGCTTATTGCTCCAGACCTCACATGGAATCAGATCTATGCCTTGGCTCAGATGCTAAAGAATCTGCCTGCAATGCAGGAGACCTGTGTCTGAGCCCTGGGTCAGGAAGATCCCTGGAGAAGGGAATGGCAACCTATTCCAGTATTCTTGCTGGAGAATTCCATGGACAGAGGAGCCTGGCAGGCTACAGTCCAAAGAGGTGGACATGACTGAGTGACTAATACTTACCTTCTTCACATGGAGTCTGGACTCCTGTACTCAGGATGCCCTTCTCTCTATCACAGGGTTCTGGAAGTACAGTTAGTCCAGAGGAGCAGCCCTGGATTTTCCTCACCTCTGAAGGTGATTAGCTGAGTACTCAGTTATATCTTTATGTAGATGATTAGAAGATGTTTAGATGATGAGCTAGGATTTTTGGTTTGCATCTCCGTTATCATGCAAAACAATAAAAGTGGTATTTCTTGAATAGACATCCACTTTCCAACGGTTACCATTATTTTCAAAAGACATATCGCTACTCTCCATAGTGAATACAGTAAAAATATCCTGAACTTCATCAATAACTGAGATATTTTCACACAATGTCATCTGAAGAGCTTGATGGGGCGGGTGGTGAGTGCCAGGATTTGATCTGAGGAATGAGCTCTCAGCTTAGGCAGATGCCACCTTGAAAGCGCAAGTGTTAATGGCTCAGTCATGTCCACCTCTTTATGACCCCATGGACTGTAGTCCAGCAAGCTCCTCAGTCTGTGGAATTCTCCAGGCATGCAATTCTCTAGGCAAGAGTACTGGAGTGGGTAGCCATTCCCTTCTCCAGGGGATCTTCCCAACCTGGGGACCGAAGCTGTGTCTCCTGCATTGCAGGCAGATTCTTTACCGTCTGAGCCACCACGGAAGCCCCTTGGGGGAAGGTCAACAAGATGAAGAACCACAGTTACTGTTCCAAGGCAGCCCAGGGACCGTAAGCTCCTGGGGTTTTCCCAGCACCCATAGGATTTATACCAGTGATCTGACAGACAAAGAACAATTTCTTCTAGATCAGGGTTTGAAGGAACAGTTCAGTCAGAAAATTGTGTCTCTTTTTCCCTTAAGCAAGGGAGCAGCACCGTTCTGGCTGACTGAGACTAGGTGAAACCAGAGAAGTTCTACCCCCTTGAGGGATGTGAAAATGGAATTTTCAGACAATATGTGGATATCCAGGAAAGAACATAAAAAGACGTGTTTCTGGGGAGAACTTCTATGTGTATTCTTTTCTACCATGAGACTCACCATCCCCAAGGATTTCCTGGGAATCTCAAAATTGTTCAACATGTCCACAGTTCCCTAGACAGTTCATGCCAATGGTGCTGAGGGTGGGAAAAGATAAAATGATGTTAAAATGACTAGGGAGGTGGCCAACAACAACAATGAAGATGTAGCCAATAATCTATCTACCCATTGTTCCTGTTGCAGCTTACAGCTCAAATAAAAGGCCCTGGGCTTTCAATCTGCCACATCAGCCAACTCTGGCTATTCACCAGGAGAACTCTTTCTAAGGGTGACTTCAGCAAAGGAGAAATAAGAGATTCCTCTTCTATTTTTCCTGGTAAATTCACCAGTACGTGAAAGCCATGCTCAGAGACCAGCAGTCCCAAGGTGGTGTGTGTGTGTGTGTGTGTGTGTGTGTGTGTGTAGATAGAGGGAGCAAGTTGGGAGAAAAGTTATTATTTTAAAAAGGCCACAAAACTTCCCTACCATGTGGAAACTGTCTCCTTTAGAGTCATCCTTTCCGTGGTTGCTGTAAGCCTGAGATGAGTTTGACTGATGACTTTTACTCTTGTGGTCAATGTTTCTCTGAGAGGGACTGTCCTTCAGAGGTCCCCCTGTCATTTCCACTGATGATGTCTCCTGGCCTCCTCAAAAGCTGTATTTTAAAACAATTAAATAGCTCACGTGTGCTAATTTAGCCCTCACAATTCTTCTTGATAGATAAATATATTATATATTTTCTCTAGTGAAAAAAAAAAAAAACCCTCAGATCAGAGAGGTTAAAGGACACACACAAGGTCACACGTCCAGAAGGTGAAGAATCAGATTTAAACAGAGCTTCACCCAACCCCTGAGCACGATGCTATAATGGTCTCCTGTGGGAAGAAGGAAGTTGGTTTCCATGGGCCAGGGATTCTTAATCACTTGGCAAGATTTTTAAAACTCTTGTAATGTTCTTGTGTTTGAAGTGATTGGCCATAAAATTCCCAAACTGAAAAATATGTCAGTACTATCTTTCTAGATTCCATATATATGTGTTAATATCTGATATTTGTTTTTCTGAGCATTTGTTGAATTACATCCCTTGAAAAGGAGTCTTATGAGCATTGGTTAGAGAAGCACGCTTTGCTTCTGGTCCTTGGAGTACAGGAGAGCTGCCGTTATAGAGCTGGGATACTGAGGCTGCTTGGAGGAATGAAGAAAGAAGGGAGGAAAGCTGGAAAGAGAGATTATTTTAAGCACTTCAACCCGGGAGAAGGCTCGGAGGAAGGAATACATGATGAAACGGCAGGAGGTGTTGCCTAACTGAAGTCAAGGAGATGAGACCCTGAGAGAAGCACATCCCTTGGTCATGACCCACAGTGCCAGGGAGAGTTAGATTGGATCCTCCTTTCAAAGAGGGACAATGATGCAGGGAGTGTTCTGGAGTTTCATACAGCCTGGGCAGGGCAGGAGCATGCTGTGGACACAGTAGTTCAGTGGCATGCAAGCCTGTTAGGCCTGGGAACTAAGACTCGGACACAGCCTGCGGGATTAGGAGAACAGAACAGCTTCTTGAGGTCTAGAGATGAGATAGTTTCTGGTCATTAAAGTCCAAATGGGCATCAGATGAGAGGTGAAAAGCTTACTCAGGTGAGAAAAGGAACAAGGCAACCCTGGAACCCTTGGCACTATCCAGAAGTGGGTGGAGAAGGAACAAGAGGATATGAGTGCATTTAGAAGATAAAAATATACTCGAGGGGAAAAAAAACCCAACTCTTATAATTTCAAAGACTTTAACAGGTGCCAAACAGTTGACAATGCAAAATGAGAGGACACGGTCTCCTTTCTATGTCTTAGAAATTTCCTGAGAATATGTGCTCATACACAGGACAAGAAAGTGAGGGACTTCCCTGGTGGTCCAATGGCTAAGACTCTGTGCTCCCAAAGCAGGGGCCCAAGTTTGATCCTTGA